TAGGTTAAAACTAATTGCAACGTAAGTTGCAACATTAAAAGTTGCAACATATTAATTACAGTTCCCATCTTTAGTCCTTAATGTAGTATGCATATAATCATATATTTCTGCAAAATCGATCAAGGTAACTGAAATTTCCCTAGATTCTACGGAATACAGAATTAAGATAATATTTACCAAATTCGAAATGATCGTCTGATTCAATATGAAAACAAAGAATATGTGACAATAAGCTACTATTATTTTTGCGAAAGACGCAAATTTCAAAGGACTAAAAAATGTTATGGTCTCTTCGTCCTTAATGATATAGTTAGAGTCCATAAGTGCAATTTATTATATGCTGATATTTTAGCCTACTCTAAATTTTCAGTAAAACTCGCCAGTCTTCTTAGGTTTACAACTGGTAAATAGCTCACTGAAATTGGAAAAATTATCGATACTATCGCTTGGGTCATTCTTAAAGTTTAGTCCAATTATCACAATTTATAACACACATTTTTTTACTTTGCTATAGCAGATGATTTTGAAGCTGCAATTTTTAATGACAATCTTATCATAGATGGCAAACACGTGACTTGAACTGATTCTAAGGCCAAACTTTGTGCAATTTGCTCATCTCCAAATTACAAAGCTAATAAATATCACAACATAGGAAATCTCCATCTGACTGAAGCATGCAAAACCTTTATCAAAGGTTCTAACCGACGTAGTATTCCAAATAAGGCTCCACCCAAAAAGATGAGAAGTGCAGTAAACCTGGACATTACCTTTGCTCATATCACTAAATCACCATTCACTACGAATAATACTCAACAATCTACTCCACCTAAAAATAATAATAATAACAATAATTTTCATAACAATAATAACACCTGAAAAAAACCAACTTCACAATTCTCAAATAAACGAAATTCACAATCTAGTTCATGGTCTAATGATATTCTACCAAATATGAACGAAGAAATTCTTTCAACAATACAATTTGCCTTACACTTAATGGCAAGTTATATAAAGGTACAAAAGCAGATGGCTCTATACATACTAACAATGATGAGGATTTTAAAGATTTCGTCAAGTCATAATTCAACAATCTTTCAGAATATTTGAACATTATATATTATAAGTACCTTAACTTTCACCATTAAACTGGTGGAATCGGTAAAATAATCTCTTGACATTAAAGTAATTACCCCTGTCAAGGCTGACTCACAAAATCTCAATGCTGATGAGATGGAAGTTGAAGTAGAACCTACTATTAACTTATCAGCTTCAACCATTCTTAAACAACAAAAACCATTGAAGGCCTAAGAAACATCAACGTTATACATTAAAACTGCCTCAAATCTTTCACTATAATGGTCAATACACTTGTTCAATTGTGTGCTACCTTCCAAAATATTCTGTTAAAAAATAATTTGCTTTCCCAAGAACAGGCCAATAATATCTTCTCACTTGGTATAACATTCGATACTGATATTGAACATTATATTAAAAACCTCTCTCAATACTAATTATTTTATGAATACTGTCCCTACTGACAATAATGCACAAGATGCATCAAATTCTAACACAACTTCTTTAACTCATATTCCTCCTTCTTTTCTATCTTTCGCTTCACATAATGTTTGAAGTTCACTAATACCGCTAAATAATATTCCCTTATTGAACATTATCTTTCATTAAATGTAGATGCCATTAGTTTTTAATAAACTAATTTCCTTCAACAACATATTCGACCATTTAATCGTGAACACTTATCTAATTTTGTGGGTTTTTCAGTTTTGAACCAACTTCTAACAAAACAGATTTTGGTGTAGGCATCTTATTACGACCATTACTGGCCAATCATGTTTTTTATCATAAACAATTGCTCAACAGAATTATTTATGTCGACCTTCAATTCACCAACAAACAAAAATTACGATTCATCAATTGCTACTTGCCTACATCTGATGTTTCAAAAAGGAAGATGATACAAAAGAATTAATAAAAATAATCAATAATGCTATTTCTAAGGATTTCCACATTATTTTAACTGGGGACTTTAACGCTGATATGGATAGAGATAAGAATTCAACAGGTGTAAAAGAATTTTTTACGTTGCTTCAAAATTTGCATTTATTCAACGCATATACATTAAAGCACAGTAATGATTGGGTTAATTATCCAACCTTCAAATCAACAACAGCAACTTCTTGTATTAACTTTATTTGGACTTCCTCAGAATGTGCATATAACTTCAATACTTATAATACACTGGCCTACAATAAATATTCAGATTTTTTTTATATATGAAATTTACATGTAAAAATTCACAATTTTATGTACATACAAAAGATTTTTTTGTACTTATTGATTGACAAATAAATTTTATTATATTAAAATATAAAATATAAAGTAATTATACAAAAAATATTATTACGAAAAAATTAATATTTAGTATGACCACCTTTGACCTTAATTACCACTTTAACCCGATTAGGCATACTTAAAATTAGGTGATGACATGTTTCAATAGTGATTTTTCGCCACTCATCTTGTACTACCTCAATTAATTCCTGCTTAGACCTAGGTACAGGCTTCCTTTTTCAAACTTGACTATCCAAATGGTTCTACAGATTCTCAATCGGGTTAAGATTAGGACTTTGTGCCACCCAATCTAAAATTGGAATGTTATGTGTTCTCATCCACCAAATACTGTAAGTTGAAGTAGACATGACGCTCCATCTTGCTGAAAAATAGAGTTGGGGTAATTGTCAACCCATGAAATGAACCGATTTGCCAGAATATTAACGTATTTGTCAGAATCCATATTCCCTTCCACCACAACTAAAAGTCCAACCCCATGCCAACCAAAACACCCCCAAAACATTACTGATCCCCCTCCAAATTTAACTGTAGATTGAATACAATCTTCATTATATGCTTCTTCAGAACTTCTCCATACTCTTGCTCAACCATCTGATTGAAAAAGAACGAACCTTGACTCGTCTGACCATACCACTTGTTTCCATTTCTCCACCCAATTTTTTTTTTCTTTGCACTATTTCAAGCGAGTAATTCGATTTTTTTTGTTTAAATGAGGCTTTTTTTTTGCAGTGTAACTTCTGAGACCTTCATCATGAAGGTAACTTCTAACTATATTAGAGTGTAAAGTTGTATTAAGGCTAATATTAAACTTGTCTGTTACATCACCTAGAGGAGATAACCGGTCAGTTCGTATGATACGTTTTAAAGCTCGAGTATCACATTCTTTGAGTTTTTTTTGTCTTCCAGGATGTTGCTTAGGTTCGGTAGAACCTGTTTCTCTATACTTTTTATAATATCGCTTACAGTACTAGTTGGTATATTAAGTTGAGTAAAAATGACTGTTTGTTTAGTACCAGTAAGGTATACACTGATAATTCGTTTTCGGTTGGCTTTTGAAACCTTGTTTTCACGTATTGAGAACTAGAAGAGGAGTGAAAAATAATATTTTTGTTATCTCTTTTATTTATATGTACGATAGGGAGAAATCACCGATTGTATCACAGAGATGCAATTTCACGTGATGAAAATCCGAATATTTATTGTAGGCCAGTGTAATAATAATCAAAAAACAATATAAATATTTTGCAATTTGGGTTGATAAATCCTAAAAAGTTCTAAATGGTCTTTACAAATTTAAAAATAATTTTTATTTATATATTATTAATTAAATTTTTTAATAATAAATTTATCTTTTTAATTATTATATTATATTTTTTAATTAATTTAAAATAAAAAATTCTTTAAAGTTTAAAAATATATTTAATTTAGAATCTGATCTAAAGATTTAAGTTCTAAATCTAATATTTTAAAGATTTTGTAAATTTTAAAAAGAAATTTTAATAAGTAATATTAATTAAAAATTTATTTATAATAATAATATTTAAAAAAAATTAATCTGTAAAACTAATAATTTTTTTAAAATTAATTAAAACTAATTAGAATTTTTTAGGATTTTTCAAAATGAGATTTAGTTAAATTTGAGTAAGTTTTAGAATAATTATATTTTTTAATTATAAATGAAAATCAATTTGCATAGTAAAAAAAACATTATACTAAATAAGTTCAACATTTTAAACTGGATAAGAATACTATTCTAAACTACTAAAAAATAGTTTTAGTTAAACAAAACTAATTTCAGTAATTCAGCTATTAACTAAACTAGTTTGATATTTAATTAAACTAGTGTCAGTTATTTTAAATTGCAGAATTTTAGTTTTGGACAGCAACACTAAAACTAGTATAAGTTGATTTCATTAATTAAGTAAAGGATTAGTATTTAAAAATAGGTAATTTTATTTTCTTTACAATAGAAAGGGTGATAACTTTAATTCTTATTTTAAGGAAATATAAAATTTAGAAAAAGAAAATATAATATTATTTTTTTGAATATTTCTTATGCATTAAAATATAATTTTATATATATATATTTTCACCTATATTAAAGAAATAAGAATTATTCTGATAAAATGATAATACATTATTCTAAAAGAATAATAAAAGAATTACTCTGATAAATGATAAAAGATAATTATAAAAAAAATAAAAGAATTATTTCAATAGAATAATAAAATATCATTTTAAAGAAATATAAAGAATTATTTTAATAAAATGATATAAGATTATTTTTAAAATATTAATAAAAAAATTCATTTTAATTGAATAAAAAATATCATTCTAAAGAAATGATAAAAAATTATTCTGATAAAAATTGTTTCAATATAATAAAAAATATCATTTTAAAGAATGATAAAAAATCATTCCAATAGAATAATAGAATATTGTTCTAATAGAATGATAAAATGTCATTTTAAAGAAATAATAAAAAAAATTATTCTGATAGAACTAAGGTTACTAGATAAAATCCAAAGTTTAGATAAGCGATTAAATAATAAAGATAAAACTTGGTTAAATTATATTAAATCTTATTAAAAATCTATAAAATTCAAAAAAGTTAAAACTATATCAAAGCTTATAAAAATGGTAAAACTATATCAAACACTTAGTAAAAATTTAATAAAACTAAAGTTTTAGATATTTAGCTAAATTAAAATAAGTTTAAATAAATAACTTTAGATAGAATAATAAAAAATCATTTTAATAAAATGATAAAATATCATCTTTAAAGGAATGATAAAGAATAATATTTTATCATTTATTAGAATTTTAGTTTTATCATTCCTTTAGAACTTTTAATATATAATTCTTACAAATTACAATTGATTTAAAGTATCTGAGTATTTAATCTTCAATATTTTTATGAGTTTACATAATATTGATTTTCAAGAAATGCTTATACAAAAAATAAAGAAATGATATATTAAAATTAAAGTGAGAACATAATAGGCCAGTTACTTCTAAAACTACTAAAAATTAACTTGTCAAATTCTTCTTTTTATATAATCTAAAAACCTATTTATTTATATAAAATACAATATAGAAAAATAAAACTGATATATCATATATGTCTAATATATTTAATATATTAACTAAGTCTAATTTATTAACTAGTCTAATATATTGATCATATCAGATATATCATATATGTTGAATATGTCAGATATGTCAAATTTGTCAAATTTATTAATCATTTATATTACATATATCATATCATATTTATTTATTCACAGATGTTTTATCATTCTATCAAAATAATAATTTTTATTATTTCTTTAATGTTAAATAAATTTCTATTTAAAAATATTAAGTATTTAATTTACAAAAAATAATAAATTATGGCAAAATCGAATTGGCGACCCCGATCGCCATGGCGACCCCTGATTAACCAATCAAATTTAAGCATTAAGTAATAT